TTATTTACCATTTTTGTTTACTTTCGTCTTGTGATTTTTGTCGTGTTTATATTGTTTATTTTCCATTACGCATTGTGATTCTTGTGTCACCAAAACAGATCTGCAATTCAGAGTCAAGGCCGATTCCCCAAAGTTTGCAAAGTGCAAAAAAATATCGATGATTTTTTATAACTTCTTCTATTCCTTTGCCACTTCTGTTTTTCTTACTCAAGTCTCTTAAAAGACTGAGTATTTCTTGTTATCCTCTTCCTCTTTATTTAGGAGCCCAAGATTAGTTTCTTAGTGACTCTTATGTGTTTTTATATTTTTGTTAATTTTTATTTTTCGGAAATTTTGTGTTTTGATGATCAGCAGAAAGAGTTAACGATAACTTGTCTTGTTGATATCACTATTAATATAAATAATTTATTTTTTATAATAAATATTCTCCTGTAAATATCCTTAACCAATAAAAATCAAACAAAAATTATATAACACAAAGTAGACAGGTTTGGGTCAAAATTCTGACAATCGAAATCCCAACAGATCATAATCAATAAAAATTCAGACAGCCAAAAATCCAATAGTTAAAAATCTCTACAATTATTATTAGAATTTTTTTGTCAGGATTATAACCTGTCAGGATTGTGCTTGTCAGGATTTTGACCAGTATCTGAGGTGGACATAATCTTTTACAGTATAAATTGGCTCTCAATTTGTAATTAAATTGCTAAACTATATTTTATAGTATAATAGTAGGATCCTGCTATCACCAAACATTGTATCTATTTATACAATAACAATAAATATTTTGAATACTATTTGCAGACTATATTGTAGTTTAATAATATATGAATCAAAACTGGCACTAATGCAACTTTTATATTGTCATAATTATAACAAAATATACCAATCGTCAACTTTTATTACAATTTGTCCAATTGTCAATTATAGTTTTCAAAATAATTAAAACTGCTATTCTTATCTTAATTGACATAATGCAAACATTGCTCAAAGTAACAAACATCTGCTGTAAACTATCTTGAGCCACCAATGAAACATCAGAAGGCTAATTTTACTAAAAATACCTGCTCGATTTAAGTATTATTATAAATTGTAAATCTATAATCTGCTTTGCTCTAATCTTTTCTAAAAATTAATCTATTCTTTTAATAATTTTTAACTAATTAATAATTTTTTTTTTTTTTTTTTTTTTTTTAACGTCTACCCTCTTGGGAGCTAGGATCTTTATTCAAGTATATATAGCAAAAGGTTCTCTAGAGATCCCTACATTAGAGAGTACATACTAGCCACACGTACACTTTTGGTGTCTAGTTTAAGTAGTCTGCCTATACATTATACAGGTTCTACACTAGATGCCGTATCTGTAACCCAACTTTGGGTGTTACCCGTTTAACCCCTCTGAAATATAACTAAACTTGTGTCACCAAGACAACTCCGGTACATTTGTTAGTCAGGAAGTCTCGGATACTTTATCCATTTCCTTAGGACTAATTTATCCTCGAGGGATCAACACTAGAGCAGTCTGAACCCACAATCTGGATTTACCTAGATTCAGTAACTTACGCCGAGTCCGAAGACAAGTACTTGCGAGCCGAAGCCGCTACAGTTACCTACTACCCCCTTGTAGAGTTCACCCAAACCCCGGTACCCACTTTACAAACTGTCAACCGTATCCCTAACTAGTGTTCCGAAAAAGATTCGGACTTGATCCGAATCTGATCCGGATCTGCTTATGGATCGAGTTCGGATCCTTTATTTTTGGATCCATATAAAATTCAGATCCACAGTGGGATCCGATCGGGTATACCTGATCTGGATCCGTAAGAATATTGCACGATATTGAACGCTGATTGGTTGTGCTTTTTTTTAATATTACTATTACAATTCGATTTTTTTCTTTACCAAATTTGCACTTAACACTTTTCTAGTATAGTTAGTTTTTTTTTTTTTTTTTTTTTTTTAAGACTTTTTGTTTTTTTGCGGCTTTTCTTTTATTGCTGCTTTTTTTATTGAGGTTTTTTTTCGTCTTTTTACTATAGTCTTTTTTTTTTTTTTTTAATTAAAAAAAAAAAAAAAATTAAAACGAAGCCAAGGTTGTATGTAAAACTATGCTTTATAAAACCTTACAACTGGAAAGATTATCTTCTGATCGAAATACTAATCAACTTCCTACTACTTTCATGCATTTGAAGAAGGCCAACCATGTCGGCCCCTTCCCAAAAATTCCAAGAAAGTGAATTACTTCAATATACAGGTGAATTGTACGAAAATGAATTAAATCCAGATGATTTATACGTAGACGAATCCTCCAAGATAAATCATATTTAAATGAGTCATACCAAGCTGAATTATACCTGGACGAACGTCCTGAAGAACGCCCTAAAGAATGCCCTGATGAACGCCCTGAAGAACACCCTGAAGAGTGCCCTGAAGAGTGTCCTGAAGAGCATTCTGAAGAACACCCTGAAGAACGCCCTGACGAATCACGCCCTAATGAATCATCATCTCAAGGGTAAAGTATGTCAAATATTATGCAGATATCCTTTATTTTATTAATTTTTTTTTTATTTCATAGATCTATTGTGTGGAAGTATTTTAAAAAGGGGAAAGGTAATGCGGTATGCGGTATTTGCAATACTACGTTAACATATAATGACAGAACAACATCGAATCTTCTAAAACATCTCAATAGGCAAAAGCAAAAGTGCCTGAATTGAGAGAATCAAGTGTAGAAGGGAGTGTAGGAGTGGGTCCAAGTGTTTTAGATATGTTGAATAATCAAAGCCGTCATCGTGAACCCTTTAGCCAACAAAAGCTTACTGATTTATTAAAAAAATGGATTGTAAAACGTAATCAATCATTTTTAATTATTGAAGACGATGAACTGAGGGAGATACTTACTTATTTAGAACCTCGTGTAGTAGATAATAGTA